TTGTTTCAATCAATGCAATTACTGAACGAGCAGAAATTCGGTTTCGTGTAGCCGCCGAATTTAGCATTCTAACGCAAAATCGTATTGATAAATTTCCGACAATTTATTTCCCAAACAATAAAATATAAAGTGCTTAATTCGTATAAATAAGTACATACGTAAGTACGTGCGGTTTTTTGCTTCACAATGAATTTCGTGCATTGTATTTTCGCTTTGTCTGTTCGCTTATGTAGTACATAATTATAAGTTCAAGGAAAATTAAGAAATCTGTTCTATCGACCTTTCGCGGTTTTTCGGCCAGTCATGCCAAATAATTTAGGCTCGACTTTATCGTGAGGTTGTATCTACGTGCAAATTGCACTAATTTGCTTTCGCCATTACCGAAATATTAAAAGCGAAATACAGCGCTTTTGCGATGGAAACCGCGTAGTTCGTAGAAAGTAGGGTATATTTGCATCACCGCTAGATAATTGGGTAGCGTTTTTTTAATTATTTCCCGATGATGAAATTTCAATTTGTAAAACGACCACAAAAATAACCTTTTCCTTAATGACTACGAGTAATTGGCACACGTTAATACCTCTGCACTTATATATTTTTCCTTGTTGCAAACTGTTTCAATATTATACTTAAATATCCTTATCGTTAATTCTTATATTATGAGAAAAATAACGCTTTAATTGGAGCAACTCCAAGTAACATTATACAAGGATTAGAACGATTGTAAAATGAAATTTACACATAAAAAATAACGAGACGTTAGAGATATAAAAATGTGGGTTATGAGAATAATATATTTTTTCGGGACGACACTATTTACGGCATCGTTATCGCATCGAGCGTTATCTTCCAGTTTGCGCCTCAATTCACATGCCTAATTTAATCTGGTCAAGATGAAGGACCGGCTTATCAAGCGATCCATAAATTTCAACTGTCAGATAAGGGTCGGGATCTAATATCAAACCTAATTGGACAATACAACGTTATTATTATGAATTATTGATCATTAAATAAACCAGGATAATGTGTGCACATCCATCGAAATTTATTACGTGAATCGATAAGAAAATTATCTGTAGGTGTTATTACATGTTCTATAAAAAAATACCAGGATATTTGTAGCGTAAATACCGATTGATTTTTGTTTGAAAGGTTGCATTGACTTTTACTCTCTTATTATTTAACTGTTTTATAGAAATTTAATGAATTGACGGAACAAAATCTACAATATTTTAAATAATTGTGCCTATGTTTCTCCAGCTTTTTGGGTGTAGTTTGATAAGATAAATAGCCGTTTATTTATCTTAAAAAAGCTATTTATCGAGCATGTATAGAGTCATTCATCAACTTGAAAGAATAGTTAATTTACCCAAAAAGTAATTTATATACACAGAAAATTGTCTACTCAATAGAAATACATACATATGTCTATTGGTAGTCTACCAATTTTGGTAAGTGTTAAATGAATTCTATAACTTTAAAATTAAAAGGTTGTCACAAGAAATGTTGATTTTTAATGCCAAAAATAATACCTCAAACCTTTTCTATTATACTCAGGAGTTCGGTATTAGAGTTGTAAATAAACTTTGGGCACTGAGAAAAAAGTATTGTATTATTAAATAGAATTCTATTATGATTTAATATAAGATATTGCAGTATATGTGACAGACACTCAGTATAGTTATGTCTAAAATACTTTTATGTTTAACTTTTATTTTAAAATTAACAATATTTTTTTATTATTATTAGCAAAACAGTATTGCTTTGTATTTTAAATTTTAACATTCAATTTGTTTAAAATGAATACATTTTTATTGCTACTTTCAAAATGCGATATGATATATTTAAATATACTGACAATATGGTATAGTAAAAGCGAACACAACATATTTTAAATTCACTTAAATCATATTGTTGCAAGCAAATATTAAACACTAAGTCCTCACATTCTCGAATTATTGTTTTAAACATATTTTCATATTAGCTTTTCGTATTCTAGTATTATTGGAGCCAAGATCCAATATTTTAATTTCAGCAATAGTAATCTAATAAATTCTATTATATTTTCTTATTGATTTACAAATATTGTATTGCTAAAATCATCAATTTGAATGTCTACTTTTACTTTTCTGAAATATTAAAATGAAATATGTAATATTGCTAATTACAGAATATATTGTATCGCTTACTCAACAATAAAGCATTGTTAAGATAAGTAAATTAATATGTATTTTTAGCTATTCTGGTATATTAAAAAACAATTTATAGTATTGCTATTATTAGTAATCATATGTACTTTTACGTATAGTACTTTCAGCAATACGAGTGTGAAAAAGGAAATGGTGTAGGGGAATTTAAAAACGTTGATATACAAAATTTGAACGTATAATAAAAATAACACTGTGAACAATACAACTGAACAATAAAACTGAAACAATAAAAACGAACAATAAAAAACATACATTAGACAAAGTTATTAGGCAAAGTTATGGCACATGAACAGGTAGGTACAAAAATATTATAAATTATAAATAATATAAATTATTAATAATATAAATCGTATAACTTACATACATACAAACTTATAACGTATATTACAAAGTAAATGAGACTTGTTGATCAGTCAATGTTATCAGACTTACAATTAGTTATTTAAAAGAGATATTGAGAAAAGAACAGCCTTCATAATTCCGATTGTAAAAACTAAAAAAATGTAATTTATAATAATAAAAAATATAAGATATTAGATATCTATGATAAAGACACAAGTTCTCCTATTATCTCTCCAAAGTCTTAATGTAATATCTAAAGGTTACAAAATGTATATTATTTTTCATATTGGACAAAATCGGATGCTTATAAGAAAATTCAGAATATTTTAATATATTCAGCTTATTTTTAACTATTTCTATTTCATAAGAAGCTAAATGTTTATTAAAACAAATAATTTTGCACAATTCTGTAATAAAAAAAAATTCATCTAACCCTTGAACGATATAATGTAAAACACCAAAAATTGGTTGACTTTTATCAACATTGACTAAAAGTAGACAGTTTTGGTTATAAGTAATATTATTAATAGTTATAGATTGTCCAATACTAATGTTATGTGTCAATCCATTTTCTACAAGAATATCTTTAACATTATCTTGATACATAAAATTTTCAAAAATAGTTGATACATTCGTACTTTTGGTAAAACTAATTTGTTTTTTTGAAAAATGTTCATCTGAGACAAAAAAATCACATAATCTCAGCTGATGTTTAATTGCCATTGTTTTAGTTATATTGACCCTTGTTGCAACATTTGTAGCAAATTTTTTTAATTCTTTATGTTTAGATTCAAAACGCATTGACCAATAATGGACGGGAGGTCCTGAAAGGCGGATAATTTGGGGCAAATGTAACACAAAATGAAACTTTGGTGTTAAATCAAAGTTTGGAAATAACTTTAAATGCATTTGATGATGTTTACTTAATAGAGTATCTAATTTGTCTATTGCAGTTACAGATATTTCGTAGCTAGTAATAATAGTAACAATTTCCTTATGTAATAAATATAAATTCCAAGCAGCATTATTTACTGGAATTAAATCTCCTATTATTAAGCATAAATAACGAATTAAGCACAAAATTTCTGATGAGGACATTCTTAAATTTTTTGATTTTACATTATCGTAAGATAAAAGGGGTGGTTTGTTTTTTGATTCGAACTTAAAATCAAAATATTGAAGTTTTGAGTTTAATAAATCAATTTTTATAACTTTATCAATTATTATTAGTTTATAAAATATATTACTTAAAATATATTTGGACACACCTTCAAAAAAATCATGCATAATATCAAGGGCATAATTTTCAGTAACATGATACGATGGTATATCATTAAACAATGAGTATTGTTTAATACCTGTTTTAGAACTATCATTAATTTTAACATCAACATCATAATTGCATTTATTTCTAAGGGGTATTTTGGAATTTAGTCTGTATTGCTTAACAGATTCTACTCGAGAAATTTTACAAAATCGACAAAAAAAGTTTGAACGAAAGCCTTGATTAAAACTTAAAATTGTATGCACGCCCAAATTATCCCCTAAGACTAGTGCTAACTGAAATTTTATATTTATTTTCCCATTACTGGTATTTACTAAAATTCCAATGTTTTCAAGTAAAATTAGTTCATCAATTAGCTTTTTGAATACAACATTATTACCAACTTTTTTATGGTCAGTTGCATGAAATAATGATACTAAAAATATTGAACTTAGTTTAGACCTGTATTCTTGTGGTATTATAGGTAATGTCATATAAATAGCACCAATTTTGTGGATACCTGAATGACCTGCAATAGGGTTTCCAATCTCAAACTCGTCAAAAAACAAAAACAATGGCAAAATTATTTCATTGGAACATTTAGAACTCCAATGCTTTCCTTGTAAAAAGTTAGACAATACCTCAGAATTGGCTTCTAAACGTTTTATATACAACATAGTACACTCAAAGAAATTGTCCATTTGAAAGAGATTAATTAAAGTATTCTGTAATGAAATTATTTGAGCGCTAAAAGGTCTCAATCGTACAGCTTTTCTAAAAAATTGCAATTCCTCTCCGAGTAATAGTTCAGAAGGTTTAATGTAAAATCCACTTTTGTTTAAATATTTTAAACATAAATAATCCGAATTAAAATTATCAAAAGCATGCTCTAAATAATAGAACAATTCATTTAACTTTTGTTTATCATTTTGAAATAAATTTAATGTTGTGTTTTTAATAAGGTTCAACTGAAAAGTTAATATATTTTTATAAAAACCTAGCATGACATGCACTTCTTTTCTAGGTGAATCTAAACTATATAATTTGCATATTAGTTGTGTTACTACTTTTACAATAACATCTTGAATATCTACGTTTTTTTGAATGCTTTCTGTTTGAACTAATGAACTAATACTCGTAGAAGAATTTACAATAATTTGTTCTGGGTCAGACCAAGAGACTTTTTCAGTTCGCTTTTGTTCATTTTGGCTGTTCTCTATATTTGATAATTGCGAATGTAGTAATGCCAAATGCTTTTTGAATGAATTAAGCGACGAATATTTCCGATTGCAATTATTTTCATTACATTTGTAAGAACTGTTTGCACCCAAAAAATGAACTATTTTAAAATGATGAACCAAAAGTTTTAAAGGAAAACGTAATTGACATACATAACATCTATACATATTGAAAAAAACGGTGTCTCTAAATAAACGAAACTTTCTATATTGTAATGTGTCAAACACATATAGAAATATAAAAAAATAAATAAAAAAGCTAATATAAATAATATCAGAAGCGTTAATCAGAAAGAGTTAGACAGTACGACCTTATTAAACTCCGCCTTGAAGACCTCCACTGATCCGAACTGCTTGTCAAATTCGGTTTGGATCCCATACACACAGGTCTGTAACCATGTCCAAATAGGCGCACAGGCTACGTTAAATTCTAAATTGAGGGCAAAATGGATTTTAAACGCCGCATCAATTGCCGAGACAATATTTCCCAGATCATACAATGTATTATTCATTGCAATATATACGTTGATATCGGCATCCTTGCCGCACACAATTATGAAGGGTTGAACTGTTGTGGATAGTTGTTGAGCCCGCTCAATATATTTTCTTTTCAGCTCATCAACTTCAGCTAAAGTCTAAAAATAAAACATCAATTAGAAATTAATAATATTGCAAGTATTGTAATTGTTTTACTTTTTTCTTTCTATCTACTGCATTGATGTTTTTTATTTGTAACTTAATTTTAATACAAAATAGAATTATAGAACCATAAATAACTAAATTGTTTAATATAACTGAGTAACGGAAAAAAGTAAACAAAAATAAAGCACTATGTTTATAGGTTAATAGAAACAAGAAAAATAGGTGGACATACTTCAATGTGAGTTATAAAAGTGTCTCGGGTTTCAATTTTTGTATATCTAAAAATCTTTGATTTCTTATTCCTGATGCTGGACGATTGAAATAGTAATGGGAAATTATACGCAACGTTAATATCTACAAAATCACAAAAATCATACAGATAATCAAAGCAATTAACTAATAACATTGTTTTCATACCTTCATTCCTAAATCGGTCATCTTTTGACCCTTTTTGATCTATTAAAATTAGAAGTTTTCTTTTTATGGATGTCCAATTTTCTATTAATTTGTTTTTTTGGTTTTTGTACTTATTCTCGAAGTCAGAAACTAAAAAATTGTACCCTTTTGACAATTTTAATGCAGGAAACATTTCAAAGTATTGGTCAATTGAATGGCTTGATAATAATTCCTGTCGCTGAGAGTAACTCTCTCTCCAGGAATTTTTAAAGTTATCATTTATGTCCGTGCAATATTTAACTACTTCGAAATGTAGTTTCATTTCATTTGAAATTTTGGGAATGTTTTCTTTATCAGATTCACCTGAAAATTTTGTCACGTAAAATATTTATGAATAAGAATTGATTTAGTTTAAATTAAATAACTCACGATATCACTACATTAAAAAAATATACCTATATATAATTAATTACCTTTTTTTTCAAATGCAGTTAATTGGTTCATAACGCGCCTCATATTGGTATATTTGGCCCAAAGTTTACCACCACATTGTCTTTTTTCGACGACGTTGGTTTTAGGTCGGTATGGTCGAAAATATATTGTTGCAGTTTCGCCAGGAAAAAGTTTTTCTATTTCCTCAGAAACTTTCAAAAAAACAACTTGAGGAACTCTAAAATGGATTGCTGTTAATATTTTGTAAAGACAATTTTACCAAAAAACTTGCTTATCTGTATATTTAATCAATAGATGATTGACTATCAAGCCACATAAGTGTGATCTTAAAGTGCTTGTTAAGCAATTTTTATTTTTTATAATCACTGTTCCCTCAAAACTTCTCTTTAAAAAATCTTCTAATCCCTAAAAATGTATTTCGTTATATTAAAAAAAACATAATTGTTTTGATACCTACTTTTTGAAAAACAACCGGACCATTGCTTTTAGTTTCAATTGAATTATCTATATCTATAACATAAAATATATCTTAAAAGTTTATACTTGTACATATGCATTGTAATTAAAATGTTTTTTGAATATACATATTACTTGAAATAGACTGACCCTTATCTAGATCATCAAAATCAATTTCCAAAAGAGAGATGTCACTTATTTCACTATCTGTATTAACAGAAGAAACGCTACCACTGGGTTGTGGGCAATGATTGTTTAATTTTTTTAAAAATTCTAATCGTCGGCCTATTTTCGGAATTAACTCTTTCACCACTTCTCTATCTATATTCAATATATCAAGCGATTTAATACCCTGTTCTATAAATAAAATTTAAAAAGACTTTGATAAGCAGGTGAAAACACAATTTTTATAAACTTGCCTTCAAAGACTGGAACCAGGTCCGAGAAGCCCCAATTTTCCAGAATTGATTGCACTAAAAAATTAAATTATTGTACTATTATAATAAATTTAACAATAAAGTATAGTAAAATTTTGCAATATCGAATGTGAGAATTTTGCAATATCGAATGTGAGAATTTTACAATACTGTATGTGTATTTAGGAATAGATGTATGGCATGTTTCTAATAAAACCTATAAATAGTGCGTGAGATGCAGTTGTAGCATGATAGATTAGATCAGTTGCGGGCATGTTTTTATACGTAAATTATTATCTAATTATGTTTAATTAATTTAATACACTTTTGATTGTGAATAAAAATTTGATCATATTCAATCAAGTATTTATTGGTATGCACCTTTAAGTAAGTAGGTAGGTATCTATACATACTACAGGTGGTATCAGGTACATGGTACAGGTAATTATCGTACCTATGTATGTAGGGTAGTTATTTCTAAAATTTTGGTATAAAATAAAACAATTGACCTACTCATTAACTAGTAATTCACAATTTGATGTCAAGTTGAAAATAATTTTGTAACGAGTACTTACTTGAATTTTCCTCACTCATTTTTAGCCGGTCCACCGGGTCCACGCTTTTTCTTCCACTTTTGGACTTTTGGCGTCTTAAAATGATGCACACTAATTCGCGTCTCGCGTCGCTCACGCGACCCCCCCCCCGACCCCAAGACCCTACGCGATCGCGCTCACTGGTCACGAGGATAAATTAGCGGCTTTTCATTAGCGCCTTTCCGTTACCGATCATCCTGACGAAATTCTGAACTTCCTGTGGTGTGTACGGCGGGAAATTTTAAAATTAAAGAGCGAAATTTGAGAAATTGAAATTTATTTGAGTGCCGATTGTCGTAATATTTATTATAGGTAATATTCATACGATAACAAATTTTATTATAGAGCAACACAGGATAACTACGATAATATACAGGGTGGGACCTTAACTGGAATAAATATTCATTATTTCGGTTATTGTACATACTATTTATAAAAATCCCGAAGCACGTCAAATTTATATTTTAAATTGATATTCTTCAACGTGAAAATGTGATCCCTCCCTACCATCAACCCCCTTCGAGTAACAACCCCTAATTTTTTAAATGGGAAATATGGGCTTGAGATATATCGTTTGAAAGGTCTCTTCATTCTCTATCCAAAAATGTTATTGCTTTTCCAGTGTAAGTTTATTTCAAAAATTAACAAAAAAAAATAAAATTATCTGATTAAATAAATTAGCTATTATACACTTAATATGTATAATACTTAATTGTTCACAATGTAAAAAAATATGAAACATGAAAATATTAATGTTACTTCAAGTTATAAGAAATATTTATTTATGATTAGGATGTTGCCAAGTTCGCGGTGAGCATTTGGAACATTTAGGTACTCCATTGAGATTCTTTAAGATTAATGAGATTTTTTATACTTTTATGAACAATTATTGTTTTTGAAACAAACTGGAAAACAATAACATTTTTGAATAGAGAATGAGGAGACTTTTCAAACGATATATCACATGCCCATACTTAAAGCCCATTTAAAAATTAGGGGTTGTTACTGTTACTCGAAGGGAGTTGATGGTATAGGGATCACATTTTCACGTTGAAGAATGCCAATTTATGATTAAAATTTCACGTGTTTCGGGATTTTCTATAAATACATATATACAGTAACCGAAATAATGAATTTATTCCAACAATTAAGTCTCCACCCTGAATAATAAAGTAGACTAAAGTAAAGTAGGATAGAAGTACTAATAACTTTTTGGTATATTTTTAATATTTTTTGTGAATACAACAATACATGATTGCATTTATAATAATTATTTTAAAATTCAAAATATGAAAAATTGTAATTATAAATAAGCGTATTGCTGTAATGAATGTATCAATTATATGCAAAGTTATATTAACAACAAATAGACAGTTTATTAGTTTCTGTAAAAAAGTGCCATAAGGACTGCATTTACAACAAATCTGTATGAAAATTCTAAATATGAAAAATTGTAATTATGAATAAACGTTTTGTTGTAAAGAATATACATATTTTTGCAAATTTATATATTAAAAACAAACAAAAAGTATAATAGCTCTTGTGAGAACAATACGGGATTGCATTCGCAACAAAATTGTATCAAATTTCTAAGAATTCATAATAGTAACTATTAATAAATTAAATCGCTTTGGTGCAATACTGTATTTGTACAGAAATTATATTAAAATCACATATACATATTTCTTCCTTTAATATATTATTTACTAAAATTCCTTAATATAAAAATATTGCTCCGTCAAGAATACAATATTATAAAATTTAATAAAATTTATAGTAAATGGTAAAATAAAATTTTTAATATACGTTATGTACAATACGTTTTTCTCAGTGGGCGACCACCCAGAAATTCGAGTTACTTCAGCAAACATTTGGAACGTCCATTTAGAATTTTCGTTTGTTCAATTCTTCATACACCTGGCGTATCATTTTCGTACCAATTAACAGTGTAATTAAGCGTATTTTTGAGCGAAATATCTGAATATAACTTCAAACAACAATAAAGGCCAGGTACGTTTTTTTTTATTATACAATCTGCCAAAGGATAATTTGCAGTCGTACGGTCGAAACGGAAAATAAACAGAACCGAATCGGCCTGTTTAATTAGCAGTTCGTCGGAATTTACTTTCAGGAACGTCAGGTACGGTTTTTCGAGGGTCATTAGCAACGTTGTTAAACGAAAACGGAGTTCGGTTAATTGCGGCCCACTGTGCTGCTGCGGCCCACCAATTATGTTTATCTTTTTCGAAACCTAAATACATAAAAAAAATTGTTAAAAAGCCCGTTCTACGAACGGAACCTTAAATTTTTCGTTAAATATTTATTACCTAATAAAACCCGACCGGTGTTAATTTAATTTGAACCTCGCGACAATAAACCCGAAGCGAAAATGCCCGGTTTCTCTCTTATTATTCTAGTGAAATTTCCGAGTAATCGACGCCCATTAAAATGGATATGTTAATAATAATAATGCACATGTGAATTGTTATATCCCGCATACACTTTTGCATATTAACTCGTAATATGTATGTATACTTTCGTTTTATTTCCAATAGTTTATTTGAATTTTACAACATGAATAACAAAAGGATCTATTCTACAGAATATCCTAGAATTATACAGATATATTTTGACTTTATAACTTAAGATGGGATATTCGAAATCTGCACTGCAGATGTTAAAAATAATTAACGTATAAGGCTAATCAAACATTTGCGTTTTTGGATATCCCTAATGGCGGTTTTTCGGTTAAATAAATAAATAAAACACGCCGAGATGTAACTCCCAATTTTCTCGTACCATCAGCGAGAGAACTCGTCAGTCGAGATGAACGTACCATTAGCGAAATTCCGTACGGGTGCCGTCTGTAAAAATGCTCATATTTATCTCGCGTAATCATTAATTATATTCCGACGAACGAACTTACGTAATATCCCTTCCGTCCGTAAATTCCCCATTGTTCCCCGGCAAAAACAATAACGATTTCCATACGAATCCAATAACGTCGAATAGGAGCACGTTATCGCAACGGCATACCATGCCGTGTCATAATTTATGATTGTATCCGAAGCGTTTTTAAGCCATCGTAGGTAGAGGGAACGAGAGAGAGGCGAACGGCGACGAGCGCGAACTAAAACTAAACAGAAACGGAAATATTTATAGTGACTTAATAGACATAAACAATTCTTTCCATGTAGGCGACCCCCATTGTTGTTTTAGGATGCGCCACCGCCATCGCCGTGTGACAGCTGCCGCGAAATAACAAATAACAATTCAACCAGACTTGGCCTAGAAAGCAATACGGTTTTTTTTAATGTATTTTTTTTTTACGTTCGTCTCGCTCTTTCTCGCGGCGTCCGTCTCTTTCGTACGAAAGTATTACTTTACCGTATTGTGTTTGAAATGAGTCTCTTCCTAAGAACGATGACGTACAATACATATTGTGTGTATACTGTATACGTATGCGGACAAAGTACGAAATATTAGTTTTGTTCATTGTACGCTGAAAAGCAAACAAAAAGCCTCTTAACGAAGCAGAAATCATGAATTGGAAATGTACACAACCGGAGTTATGAAAGAGGCGAAAATAAAATGTTATTTTGCGTTATCTAGGCTCGAAGTGTAACCCGATGTTTTTTTAATACTTGAAAATACGCTTTATTTTTATCGAAATGTATATTTGAACTAATACCGGGTGAACGAAATGTTGTTATAGATAATACTAGTATTAAAGGGGAGAATTTTAGGACACCACACATTGTCACAAAAGGATTTTTTATCGAGCAAAATAATCGACAAATCCTTTTTGAAAATAAAAAAAATACCCCGTCTCATTGTTAGGACATCGCATAAGACACGTTCGTTAATCTTCAAACGCAAAAAACAGGTAATATTCGTGCTTAAATAACAAATTCCGTCCCTAACTAGTTTTCCATTCAATTTTCTGACTATTAACCGTGAAAAGTAACAGGATTTATGAAATCCCTGTTTTCCCCCAGAGCCCTACATCCTCTCCCATTGAATAACCGAGGGTCGTTTCGTTTCGTTCGTTCGATGGGGGTTTTGTGCGCTTTTATAATTCATGAGCTACTTCTTGAAACTCGACCGAATAACTGGTATGGTATGGGAGGTTGTACCGGTGGCTACGCGACGGCCAGGAGTGCGTTTTGTCGATTTTAGCGATAATGAAATTCTTTTATTTTATTTTTTTGTTCAGAAGAGGTTTAGGGGAAGTTTTTTTAGTTGTATTGGGGCAAAATTCGCAGATAACCAAAGCCTGGAGGAATATTGTTTAATCCGGCGTTATTCGAATTGTTTCGTCTTTTTTATCGTATTCGCTTCGGGCCCCTAAGGTGATTCCTTTGTTGGTCGGATGAAAAGAAATCGTTATACTTATCTAGATTTTTTTATATTTTTTTATACTCCTATCTCCGATCTAAGGATTTGGTACATTTTTTTCGTGCATTCAAACATTATCTAAATCTCATTGTTCTTCAACTTGCTACTCCCGATTAGGTAATAATCACGTTACGTTGGTACATTTCACGTTGACATGTCTGATTTTTTATCTTCATTAAATGTAAAAGTAGACACGACCATTTCTCTACATGCATACATATTACAGCTTTTAAATCGCATTATATATTATCATAAGTTTTGTGTCCACCCCGACAGGCAGAAGACAGATTTTCGCTTCGGAATAGTTATCGTGTTTCGAACAGACGGCAACCAATAAATTCGCTGGGTCTTTTATCGGCTGCACAGAAGAAGAAGGGAGCGGTAGAAATTTCCCAAAAAATTGTATACACACGAAACGTTTGTTTGCAGCGAGGAATTTAGAAAGCCCACATGAATAGATCGAACACAATGGGTTTTTGCGAATCTCGGAAATATTTATGCGCATATTTCAAGAAATCCAACCGAAAAAAATCATAAATTAACGTTTTAAGTGAAAATTTTTGCTACGTTAATTTGTTTACCGTGAAGAAAACACGATGAATTCGTTGCGTTTGTTGCGTAATTAATTTTTGTGAGAAGACAACGCACCACATGCTCCCCCATTCATGTGATATATAATTTCGAATCACGTTTCAATTCCTTGAAACGGAATATAAAACTTGTTACGTTAATACGCCCGGATTCTGGGAAAAAGCCTCCGTGGAAACACAATACGCTAGGTATACACGGAATATGATCCTCGAGATGGCATGTCTTGCCGTTGTCGTCGCATGAAATTTCATATAGGTTACTTTCCACGGCTGTGGAAAAAATGGCGGTATTTATATCGGTTTATTTTTTCAGTTTCACTTTCAGTACTTTTGAGCGAACACTATCCGTTGAAGTTAATTGTGCATAAAACATTAGATACCATCTAGAACAGTTCTATAGAAAGAGGACTGGGAGAATATTGATGATATAGAAAAGAAACAACCTATAGAAGAACCACTAGAATACTAAAAAAAAACATCCTAAAAGATATCAATCACTGAAAACTTTTTCTCAATAGTACAAGCTACAAAATTTATGTCCTAACAGGTTTTAAATCAGGGAGTCAACTCGAAATTAGTCTCTCCAATGTTTCCAATGTAAATCAAAGTTTAAAGAATATTATAATTGTGTTCGTCGACATTTTCTAACAATCGAATTCGTAGAAACCTTTTGGCATTGTTAACAAATAGATAATAAATAGCGCATTGTTAAATAATACCCATTGATTCCTTTATTTTTCTCCAACCCACCCGTCGCAGTAATACAATGGCTCCAATAAAACGCACAATAAAATAGTGAAGATATATATCTAATCAAAATTTTTTACGGCCGCCCTTTCAGCTTTTAGGATCTAATAAATACGAACCAATACAAGCGTTCCGTATAATCGTAATCATAACTATAAATGAATGCGTTATATGTATTTCCTTTTTTTTCGCAATAAGGACTTTTATCGCGCTCGCATAAAACAGTTTTTTTTCACTTTAATAATTTCATCCGAAGGAGTTTTCTATCGACATGAAAATCCCATTTCATCCTTCGACTTTTTCCAGCAGGCTTCGTTTACATCAAAATCATACGTTAGCGCACAAGAGCGCCCGCTCAACCCGTAATTAAGCGAGACTTGAGCGCTAAAAATGGGCGGTGAATAACCTTTTAAACAATAAGAATGTAATAAGGAGCGGCCACTTCTTACATTCAAATTACCTCACGCTATTTTAACGGAAGGTATGTAAGTTTGATGTGTTTAAAAATAACGTAACGCTAGTTTTGCGAGGAATAGTGTATTTTATTTCTAAGGGTGTAATAAGTATATTGTAAAATGGAATGAATCCGGTCCTGTCGAGGTTCTTCCGTCTCCGTTCAATGACTAGGCGCGTTTCTCTCTGCAAACATGCACGTCAGAAACCTTTTGAAGTACAGACTAAAGCCATTAGGAGACCCCATCGCGTCTTGTAATATCAGCCGAGCCGCTGGCAACCATAAAAAATTCTCGACATAAATTTCGAGTTAGGCGCTATTTCCCGGAAACTATGCCAAAGTGCGTTTGCCATACACCGAAGAGCCCCGCTCGAAAGCGTGTGCGTGTGTTAACATCTTGTTTTTTTCTTCGTATACTACCTACTTTACCGTCGGATGCAATAAAAAAGACGCGGTGTATAAAAAATTCTCTAGTTTAAAATGTATACGGTGAATTTATCGTGTACTCGTACCATATAAAAGAATCTATTAACTCATCGATTACGTAACGTATAAGACAACTATCGCAAATTCTAAATGGTTAAACTAACTCGATGTTAATATCGTTAACGTAAATTTACAAAAGCTCTCGACCTTCCGAGCGAGGAAATTTTTTTTAACAGAAATCCACCATCCGAATCGTTTACCACGAATACTTCGGGGACCCGCACTCAACCTAGAAATCCATTTAAATTTCTTTTCATCCTACGAAATTATCAGAACCTCACGTTTCAAAGAAACATCGCCGTCGTCGTCGCTTCCATTATGTATTCCGCAACAATGCCCCTACCCAATGTGTAACTAATGAGATTTAATTTTGAAAAGGCACTTCTTCAGAAGCCACAATAATTGTCAAATACAATGGTATCCAATTAACTGGTTTATTAGAACTAGAATTACGTGTAAGACTTCGCTGCGGAACTTTCACGCAGTTTACACAAATTTAATTAACGCCCGGGTTCTATTTATAATGCACCAGCGAAAAAGAGTCGACGGCGAAATTTCCCGCGAGCAGTCTCGCTATCTGGTTATCGAAAATTCGACCAGTATTTACATATCACGCCTAGCCGGCATAAATCTTTATAGAGATACGAATCATTGTAGAATGTCCCGATGTGATTAGCGTTATTAATACCTCCCGCGCCCATTGGGATAATGAGAGTAAAATCCCCGAAATTTATTCGATGCCCCGCGCTACATCCGCACGAAGCCACGTGCACGAACATCGGTCAAAGCGTCGCGCAAACGACGCCCAATCTGGGGTAAAGGTACTCGATGGATGAGAAGTAAGTGCAGCCGACCATTAGTGGTGCGTTGACTCCGCTTCTCCCGCTCAACGCCTATCCCCCGATCCGAACGTGCGCTCGGTCTGCGCCTTTTCTGCGCTCTCTGTGCTTGTGCATGTGCATATCCTTAATCGGTCGAATGCAATACGACCAGCGTCAAACACAAAAGCATTAATTATCTCGGAGTGGCCCGTTGTCGAGATAATGGAGAAAAGGAAAAGATAAGTGAGTTTACGTGAGAGAATGCGTACCGGCGAATCGAGAGAAGGCTCTCGATGATTCCATGGAGCGAACGCATCCGGTCGACGGGATCAGAATGTATCCATTTAAACCGCTGGAACGATGATAACTGGATACCCTAGGGTGATGCCCAGATATCATCTATGAAGTTCCAAACTTTATGAATCCATTTAAATTTCTGCTTATCTAACAATAAGCTAGTTAATTCCCATGCAATATAAACGAGTCATTTTTTTTCGTCCCAAGTACCCAAAGGAGTTAATTATAAGAGAATATCATTTACCGCCCAAGTGAATAATAATTCAATACTATTAATGAATATTCAT